AGGTTCCAAACGAATGGTTTGCGTCGCTCATCTCACCGATGGATGATAAGTTCTATTGTGAAAACAATAGAGGAATTATTTTGAGCAACACAGCTTTTCGTCCCCTCTTTTTGATTAAAAAACATCGCCACGGGAACGCTGTGAGGCTTCTTCGGCAGAGGTTATTTGAAACCCTTAGCCCTATATGAGCATTTCACAGGGTGATCGATCACAACCAAAGATACCCACCACCGACCGTACTGTTGCTTTCGGAGGCTAAGAAAAACATGCTCAAAGTGTGAATGATCATGCTTTTACAGACAGCAGTACTCACTCAGTCGTCTGGGCTTAAGTCTCTACGGGGGCTCGAATAACAATGCTGTCACCCGTCCTCCGTGTTTAACAACACTAATGATCCTCCCAATACCGAATGTCCGTATAGTACTGCGGATGTGAAGTACCTTCGTGACGTTTTTTTGTATTTTTTTCATCATGATTATCACTAGAAAAATGTATTTAATTTCTATTCTGCAAAATCTCTTACTTCATTACTAGTTTATTTCATTTCTCCTTCTCAATCCACTGCCGCTGTCACTCACAATCGCACATCCAGATTCCGCAAAGATTTAGCCGATGCGGTTCAACAAATCGACGCGCACAATTTATCTCGAGACATGCATCATCAGTATCGTGCTCTGGATCCATCCGTTATGCCAAACTATCCAGGCATCTAGTCCATTGTTCATTGATGCTAGCAGCAGTGATTTTGGATGACCCGTTTACCTATTTGTCAATCTGGCTGTTAACGAAACTCAAGAAAAATAGACTTTTCTTATGATACTGAATCGCTCCTCGTTTTTGTGCTCCTCCCCCGGAAACGCTCGTTCGTATGTGCCTGTGATATTGTGCGCACTTTCACCCAAATTGGTTCCCATCACTGAAGCAAACACCAATTTCGCGGCTGTGACAACTTGATTTTCCTCTGGCGATATCACATTCCTATTGAAATCGTGGTTCACCTCTAGTCTCCTGCCCTCCGGATACATATCAATTTGTATTTTCCATACTGACCCCCGCCTCGCCCCTCACTTCCACCTGTGTCAAACACTATGCACGCACGTACGCACGCTTCTATCAAGTAATCAAAAGCACTGGCCTATGCACTTCACTATCTTGTATTGCCAAAATGGATGATTTCCACCACCACCAACAACAACCTTTTGTTCGTATTCTGACTGTGGTTTCTACTACGACCGACATTTCCTACGCCGATTATTCACCCCACCCCCGGCCATTTGTGTGTGTGCGTGTGCCACAAACAACTATTGCAGCATTTTGTAAATGTACAATCATGAATAGCTTCCGATTTAGCATTTTTTCCAATTGAGAGAATCCGGCGATCCAAACGCTGACCGTTATTCTTTGTTTTTCTTTTCTACTCCGTTCAATACATAATCTTGCTTTTATGATTTCCTTTTTTTATCTGTATGCGTGTATATTCTTTTTCTCCGAATCAAATCTGGAGTGATCGCTTGTGTCCTCTGGCGGTACCTATCTGGTTGCACTTATTCATGTGTGTATGTATGCATGTGTATGACTGACTGATTTCAGAAGTATTTGTCTAGTAGACACTGGTTCCGACATTTTATCTAATCTCACCTTGTCCAGTTTCACCATTGTTAAACATGCGTCCAAAGTGAGCTTCCATTCAAATGCTGCGGTTACTTCTCCTTGCATGAATTTGTATGATAGCTTAACTGTGCCTCTCCCAATCCAGGTCGTTTGTCTGTAACGTACAAACTATCGTCTTCATATCTGAGCCAGAGACCGCGAAACGATTTTTGGGGAAGTGGAGTGTTGGTTCGTAGGAATGCTATCCGAGATGCAATCGGACGACCTTATTTTCCAGACATTAATTCACATGCGTTACATGTGAGTGTCTCTCTGATAGGGATCGGCTCCCGATGACAAAAGGAAGACAACTGGGAGAGGTATTTCGATGTTTGCATGACTTTGTAACCTCATCAATCTTGAAACAGGGTTATGCCTTTCCAAGTGCAAACACTAAAACGAATGTATCACAACTGTGGGCAAAATGCAGTGTCCAGTCAAGATTCCTTGAATGGTCGCAGTTGGGCGACCCATTAGTGTCATCGGTGTGGCACACAATGGGATAATATTGTGTGGACTGATGAAGTGAAGTCTCACCTACGATTGATTAATTGAAGCTTGAGAGTCTGCATGCCGAAAGGTACTAGAGATACCAACTGCCGGAAAGTATCACTGTTACCTCGTAGCTGGATACTGGTACTATGTGGAAAGCGTGATCTGATTTAACCGAGGGAATCGTGACTGGTTGGTATTAGATTCACCACATGGGACGAGCAATTAAAGGCACTGTTCGATTCAGTTCACTGATCATTGTATGCTCACCTCACCATATGAACTTACTCGATTATCGTATAGCACGTTGCTGCTGCTGCTTCTAAGTCACAACAACATTACTCTTTCTGTTTCTTAACAACTCAAGATATGTCACTGACACAGTGGTTGGAAACATATTTCACTGCTGATTCGAATTGGTTTTAGACCTCTCTTGGATGACATCACAGAGCTGGGAAGTGTGTGGAAAATTGATCATTCACTCCGCTGTCACCTTGTTTTTGTGCTGCGTTTCTAGTCCGTTAGATGTATGTTTAACCAAAAACAGAGCAATTTAACGTTGCCTTTCTTTCATCATCTCGAATTTGATTTTTCACCAGTTCTGTTCTACATCAGTATCTCACCAATCGGATTAGAGAACCCCCAATTGATGCCTTATGCGCATTTTACCTGATGTATGTTATTAGTACCATAATCGTTACCTCTTATCCAGCACTAGCTTTCCGAGTTTCACTATGAGTTGTTTTGTGTAGCATTTATCACTTCTTCAAAACTCCAGTGGATTGCATGTGAATGGTCCTCTGAAAGAAGTGGATTGGGCAGGCTCACTCAGTCCCGTTCTGTTTGTAGAAAAATTACACTTGTAAGTTGTAACGAGTAGACCGCTTTTGTTTCCATGATAAAGCCAGTAAGATCACATTTATTGATGTTCAGGACTCCGAGTGCAGCCCACCGGGGTGACCTATTCCCGTGCCCGGTTGGATGTGTAAAACAGCACATGGATCATTTCATTTTTGCCTAATTTCCTCACGAATTCTTTGATTTCAGCCATGCAGAGGATTGGTCAGGTCATCCGTGTTCTTCCCACCGGTTTGTCCTCCATGTTTATCCGGACGGCGTGCACAATTTTTCGACCTCATACGCCTGCACTAAATAACAGTACCTTACTGTGAGTCCTCATCACCTACTTGCTTTTCTGTATCTATTTTTCAAACCTCAGTGCTGTTCTAATTGTGGTCATACTGTAGTATTTGGAATAGGAATCGAAATCGAATAGCGCAAACTCGGTATCGGACTGAAAACCCACTGAATAGCGCAAAGTCAGGTAGAACCAAGACGGGCTGTGGATACAGTTAATTCTATTCAGGAAATCATGGAAATATATGTTACAAGCAACAAATAATCATTGGTCGATTCTTGAATGTCCAATCGACAAGGATTTGGTTTATCTGTTTGCCTTCTTGCACTCAGCCAATCCGGATGATGCCAATTGAGACCACAGGGTTGGTTGGTTATCCCGCTTCTTGATTGGTTGCCTGGAAACTGTACCGCGGTGCGTGCGTACTCGTTACACGATCACCACACATAACCACTAGCATTTTCGTTGTTTCGACCGGACTTAGATCGGTTTTACTAACTTGGAGTCAGTGGCTATAGGCATAAGTGTTATCCTCGAGTTATCCTTTCAATCCACTGAATATGTAAAAGCAGTTTATTCTCATTTTTCTCGTGATTCCACCGCGTCGATTGGACGGTTAGGGTTCAGGCAGATGGCTTCGTTTGTAACTAGCCTGAACAGCAAGCGTTGTCAAGGTTAGTGTGCATCTATGCAATTTCGAATATGTTCAGTTTCAGAGTTCAGTTAATCTCATTTCGAACATTATTGTTGTCATCCACGAAAGTGATGGATCAAATGATAACAATTATGTTTCAGCTGTAAGCTGCGAGTCAGATAACTTGGTTCTCAAAAGAGTGCAAATTCACTTGATAGTTTCGTATTCCGGTCCTGATCCCAATTCGGTCATTATGTCTCGAGGAGGCATACAATGTCCACCTGTTACCGCCTGCATTCCCGCCTTGTTTCGTGATCTGTTTTTTACGAACTTTTCTAACATGCATGCTGTGGCGAGTTGAGCGCGACAGGAACACGAACAGACAGCATTGCACTTGGGGGGGTGGTTTTCAAGTCAGTTTTTTTGCAGCAACCGACTGAGTCGAATACCGGTGGCTGTGAGCTGTTAGTGGCCTGCTTGTAACATGCAACACGAAGTAACACTGTTTCGGTGACAATGGTACACACACACAGAATGTCCGACGTCGCACACTTCGGCTTCACCCAATCCGTCGGAGCAGTGGTAGACACGACCGCATGGCGGACAAGTCGACGCGATGGATCGAATTACGTGCATGTCACAGTAGCATGCGCCAGAACACGTACATGTGACTATTCCACTCTTGACTCGTGCAATTTAGCCCTCACAAAATTCTCTGACAGTTTTGGCCGTTCAGAGCATGTTCTCGGGTACCCCTTCTGTCGGCCGTGGTTGTTATCACGTCACCGTATGACTATAACTACCGTAATTTTGATATGACAAGGTGACTTGGCATAAAATGACTTTAACGGGCATGAGATATTGTACCTCTGTGAGGACTTGGTTTAGTTTGCTAGATTTTTAGCAGTGAGAACACCGATGGGTTTATTGAAGTATTCATGGGCTTGCCACGATGTCCGAGGTAGCTGATCTACAAAAATTTGAGTCCAGTAAGACAACTAGATCGGTATCGGTGAAACTAATCATGGTACCCGAACCCAAGTAGCAACTAACATGTAAGCGTGCACCTCAGGGGCTGATTTACCCTGTTGACGACAAAGTTGGTTTTCTATCCCGCCCAAGGCGTTCCTTTACACCCAAGCAGCTTCTTTTATACAAAGCTCAAACCCGCCCGATGCTTGAATACTGCAGTCACACATGGGGTGAGGCTTCGTATTCCGCTCTTTCTCTCCTCGATCGTGTTCAACGTAAAGCTATCCGGCTGATCGACGAGCCGTCTTTAACTTCCAACTTGCAGTAGCTTTCCCATCGCCGGGCAGTTGCTTCGTTATCTCTTTTTCCTACTCTTCCAAACTCGCTTCAGCGTTTCCCCTTCTATCAATCTTCTCTCGTCCATCTCGTTCTCAGGCGGACAGTCACCCTTATTAGGTTTCTGTCCCCAGGTGTCCTCCAATCTTCTTTTTTTCCCGAGGACTGCGAAATTGTGGAACACTCTTCCCATTTCGTGTTTCCCAGCTTACCCTTTTCAAAAGCAGGATTAATAAATTGATTTTTACTTAAATGTTCCCCCACATACCTCCTTCTTATAGTATGTCATTGATTATGAGGTTTACCCCTTTTGCAGTAAATCACTTCGTGTGTAATGCAAAAACCTCATTTGAAACGCAAACCTAGAAAATTTCCTCTGCACTGTTGCACTTATTTTTTGGCTGCTCACACGACCTTAAAACCAGTTAGGCTGTTGGTTTTTGTGCAACGTTTACCGCGGCCTGGGATCGATGTAGGATGAAGATTGTGCAACAGACGGAAGCGCGGGTTATGTTCGTGTACGTTTACGTGTCGAATGCGTCACACACGAGCGTCATCATTTCAAGTTCTCACTGATTGAATCTGCTTGTCCGATGCGGTGGTCAAAATGGCGTTTCTATTGCCAGTGGGTTTTTTTCGGCCACAGTCATTTCCGCTGCTCCTGCTGACTAGCAATAGGAATCAACGAAGACACAACGTTGATGCGTCCATACTTCAGACAATATTTACCAAGAAGAATCACGGTTTCGTTAAGAATACGCTCTGATCCGTCGCTGATGCTTCCTAGTCGTTGGTTAAACCGATTATTTGAAAAGGATTTTTACTGGAACCGGAATTAGTGTTTTCGTTTTGCGTCGGTTCAAAATTGTTCACACACCGCTTTTCAGTTATCGAAGTAAAAATCATTTTCAGCTGACCGAAAATGCGTCTACGCAACATTAATTTGTTAGCATGTTGAAATGTTGAAACACTAAAATGTCCAAGATATTTTCTAAATGCAAAAACACGTGGATCTACGAACTTGGTCCTCAATATAGCTAACTACCGAGGTATTAGTTTGATCGACGTAGCAGCTAAATTACTCACCGTGATACTGCCTGATCGCTTTGCAGCACCCATTCAAATCAAAGCTCCTTCCACCATTGTAGAGGCTGTGTTGAGCGTATATTTAATCTCCGTCGAACCTTGGGAACACCACTACAACTTCTAACAGTCAATTATGGCATGCTTCACCGGCTTCCTTCGATTCCATCCACCAGAATTTACCGTAGAACATAACAAAAACAGATGGTGTGCCTAAAAAACTCAATATTAATCAAGACCTACTAATCGGAGACCCGAGCCCGAGTTCGTGTCTTCTGAGTTTCCCTTGAACTCGAGGGTTCGATAAGGCTGTCCAATGTCCCCGTCACTGTTCAACTCATCAGCTATTGACTGAATCATAGATCGTGCCTTTACTGATTACTCAAGGGTGCAACATAGGCCGGATAACTGAATCGCGAACGTCGAGTTTGTGGACAATATTATTATCTTCGCAGACATACCGGGACACCTACAGCCGATGTACGACAGTACCCCCCTTTTTGCCAGAAAATTTGGCTTTGATATGAATCCGTGCAAGATCAGAGTCGCTTCACCACCACAATCTCAACACAGTATCCAATCTCTCTGTGAGAAACCAGTTCCATCCGTCCAAACTTTTGGATCCCTTGGGTTCACCACGCGTTAATTCAAAGACGAAGAACAACTCCGTCGAACACTACGATCACAGACATATCCTCCACTAACTTTCAATCTGCGTCCGACATTGCCTCTGAACGCCGCTCGTTTAGGGCTATCGGCAAAGACGTAAATGAAGATCACTCATCCTTAGATCGCAGTTAGTTGCATAAATTTTAAAGAATGAATAGCTAATCAATGAATTAAAAAGATAAAATACTGAAGTTTGGGATGATGAACAATAATACAATACAATACAATAGCCGAGCCTCTAAAGATCCATTCACACTTTTCAAAATGAATAAATGCTTCACATTGATTCGAAAAAATCACATTTCTGATCTGCAGTGTTACTGATCTTATTATGTTACCTGATGTTTACCGCAAAGGTCCGATTTTTTCATTACTTGTTTGATTCATAGTAATCATATATTTCACAACATCAAACAAAATGTTATCTTGTGTACACTCGATCACTGACCGTAGAACCGAGAAATAAAAATTCTGATCTTACTTTAAAAGCGAAAATTACGCGCCAGTTACGCTCAATCCTTTTCTTTAATTTTTCGTAAAAATGTTTGCAAATTTTCCGGGCCCTCGTTCAGCCTTACACTCCATTCGTCACGCTATTGATTTAAGGAGCCTAATATCAAAAAGATTGACTGCCGCAAACGAATCCCACCATTCGTCAAACTGTATGTTTTGCAAATTCCAATTAACGATCCGGCAGTAGGCAACCCTTGCTGGAATCTTATCCCGATCAGATTTACACGTGCACAATACTTTTGTGCGTCAGTTGGTTTACAAGGCGGTGTAGAGTTCTGTCCGTGTTTGGCTTGAATATTGCAATAACCTAGCCTGTTTCTCTCTGTGCTCAAAATATGTTCTTTACCTCAAAGTTGGTTGATAAGCTCAATACCTACCTGATCGGTACAGAATGAGGTTCCTCTTTTGACAACCTAAATACAGAACAAAGTAGTGCAACGGCTCAAAGTCCTTTAGCTTCTCTCGTGAACGGAGAAGCCAAAAACTCAAGGTTGTATCCTGGATCATGTGTACACGTGCATACTGCAGTTTATGGGATCAGTAATATGTGATCAGGTATGACAGAATCAAAGGCAGAGAAAGATTGCGTTCAAAATCACTCACCAAACACTTTTGTTATCAAGGTAGTAGAGAGAAATTTATCGCGTCTTTTGAATGACCATTTAACTACTCATCTATTAGTTGATAATGAAAACAAATAATGCACTTTATATGATGCATTCGTCGTGTGAATGAGGCATGAGCTGAAAAGCTGGGAGTCGCTGGACAGCTGTTTCGACTTAGTTGGGTCTCATCAGCAGTGCGAATTTATCAACTTAACTGGGGATCAAACCCGGGACCTCACATGTAGAACGCAAGCATACTACCCACTCGACCACCGGGCAGCTGATCAGACCATTTCTGATTGTGTATAATGGACTGTTCCGTTTCCATTTGGGACGACAGTTGATTAGCAACCATCTGTTATACAAATCGCCCAAATCATTTATATTGTAAACGTCAGTGTGCGAGTTGGTGGAGGAGACTATGTGAGGTAATTTTATCTACATATCACACCAGTAATGTATACTAGTAATGTTTTATTGCCAGTCTAGACAGGGTAGTCAATTTAACTTCAATGCAAGCTTTCTGTCCCTCTGTGTTTGTCTGTCTACATTGGGTACCGTTTCATATCGCGAACTACTGATTGTCGGTTGAGCATTAATCAGTCATTCTCCATCCTTGAAGAGGTATTGAGAGTCGAGCTATCAGCTTTGTGCATATAATCTCTATCCGTAAGCTGTTGTTTCCTCTCATTTTATTTCCGTCTTACCGAACTTTCAAACCAAAAGATGTTACGTCACCAAATAAAGCACGCATCTATTATTTTACCCACTTCTGCGACAGCTCAGTCGCTGGTCCGCTCTATCTGCCTGATCGGGGTATCCGTTGTCGGGAGACAAAAAAGTACTACGATGAACTAGGGCGATATAATCCGCCGGTGTTTGCTGTAGTCGAACGATTCAAGCGCCTTCGTTGGGGTGCGTTTATTCATGCTCGACCCGGTCGAAAGAAGCATTTGTATCGGTAAGTTCAGTCATTCTTTTCTCAGCCAGTGTTCAAAAAAATACCTTATCCCATTGTTCTTGTTACAGTAACATCCTTTTTCATCCAGTCACATCGGCATGATTATTTCGTATTGTCAAACACATTACCATGGCCCAGTTTTGTTCACAGTTTTATTGCCGAAGCACACGGGATTCAGGCTCGATCAGATGATTCTGGTTTAACCTTGTTTTGTCAGCAGCTGTATACCCCCTTCTATAGACCTATCCCATCTGATGGATCTTTCTTCTACGAAGTGTCCATAAACTACCACTGGGGTTAGGGTCATAGCGTATTCGTACATCTGGCTCAGCCCCTCGTTGACGCCATGTTGGAATCCTTTTTACTTTGATAGTGTTGAATCAGGTTTATGATCTATCGATGTGATGCATGCCCGAGTTCAATTGAGAAAGTTCACCTGGCGAGCTATACAATATTTGACCATCGAGCACGATACTTGACTAGTGTTGGAAGTCGAAATAAAATTGCCGTGGTTTTCTAATATGCACTTATTATGACTCATGTGAGCGACGGTTATCTTTCGAACCTCTGGTTTCACGGTCACTTGCCAATTACAAACGGATAGCGGTACAAAAAGACCACTTTCTAAGTTTGATACACGCCCCGGAATGCATGGGTATTTATAGTTAAATTCACTATGCCTATGACTTCAAAACGCCACGTTTCTCGAATTCGTCCCCAGCCCCTCGCCCCCGCACACATGCACACAATAATACATGATATATGTAAGCGCTTTGAAATAAATATGCATCTTGCAAATGTTGATGCACATCTTTTGTGCTTGTACTGTAGTACAAGTACAAGTTCCGGATCACTACGCGTGGTACCCCGTCATCCGTTCGTGTTAGTTAACATCAGTAGATTCATCCACCTCAAGATGGTAACACCAATCGACTTCCTGCCAGCATTTCGCGCTGTGGTTGCTTACTGGTGTTTCATCGGATGCTGTTCACCCAACTAATTAGTCTCGAATGCGTTCCCGTTTGTCAATTGCAACACCACGTTTGAATCGATATTTTTACAGTTTGTATTTATGTTGCCTTTCTACTCGAATGATGCTCTGGTTCAACCGGTGTGCTGATCTGCACCTGTGTTGTCAACGTGAGGTTTCACTGATATTGAAAAATTGTCTATACTGTGCCACAATGCAGTTATCATTGATAGGTTTAGAGATTGTCTGTGAAGGATATATTCGTCGGTAGAAAGTTTTTAGTCCTCAAGGTCTACGTCCATAGGGTGAAAAGAACAGGTTAATAACATCGCGGTGAGCATTCGTCTGCTTGGGAGTCTTTCTGTGGAAAATTCTTCGTCACAGCCTGCTATGAGGAGTATCAGGTTTTGCTAATTAGACCCTGTTTCGTGCATGTTTAACATTCGGCCTCAGTATCAGCATCATTCCTCCGGTAAGTATCTCTAGGGTGGAGGAATTCACATGATGGTTAACAGATTACATGGAGGCAATGTGTGAATAATTACACATAGAGTTGGTGTTGATGATAATGAAACAATCTTGCAACTCATGTGCTTCATATTCAAACCTTGTGATGTGGCACGTGATGCAGAAATTTGTGTGCTCCGATAAGATATCGGGTTCATTCAGAGATACGCCAGAGAACACTTGCACGCAACTTACTTGGAGTGTTTAAATGTTGATGAACCATGTTATCTTCGAAACTCTCCTCCGGTGGTGTTCCTGTTGTGGGGACAAAAAGTGTTAAGGAAGTTCCTGTGTTAGTACGAATAAGCACGTGATTACAACCGTAGATGTGTGCATAAGTAAGCAGGCACGCACCACATGCAATCTGTGTGCTGTCTTCCCGGGCAGTTAAGCAAGCAACCAATCAATCAGTGCAGACATTTCAACACTGAAGTACAGTTGACTGAGGAGAATTGTGGGCGTGCGCGTGGAGTAGTAAGCAATAACAGTCATTCAATAATGCCGTAGGCAGTACAGTCAACCCTGCAATTGTGGGCCACAATACCATCCTTGTTATACTTACTTAATCTCAAAGAAGTGAAACAACCTATTCTTATTCAAGAGTAAGTCAATGTATGAAACCTTTTTTCATGTTATGCCTTTGGGTGCAACAGATATCTTATAGAGGTAGGTGGCATCTGTGAGATGGTAAATTTTCATTTCCTCATGGGTATATTTCACCTACTTAGTTTCCGTAATTTATCAAATTTACAACGGTGACCCCAAGAAGCTGAGGCGTGCATCAACGGTCACGCCCCGGAAACCGCGTGACAGGCAAATGAAATCATGTTGAGCGTATACGGGACACGGAAACCTCTCCAAAATGGTGTATGTTATGCGAAAACAGTTGTTCGCCGCGGGGGCGGGACGAAATTTACTGGCTGATCAAACGGGTATCAAAGAAATCCGACCGTTTAACAGGAATCTATGCTGAACTCACGTTAAATGGTGAGTGGTCTCCTAGGGATCCATGGCTTACCGTTTGTGAACACCCTACCAGCCTGTAGTCTGTACTTAATCGTCCAAGGGGTGGAAATACATTGTTGAAGAAAAGCCGGGCGACACTCGGGATATCTGTGATACCCAAGTTGGATGAACTGTCAAGATTCTGCAGGGAGCCAACCTCAGCAAAGCACGTCTTGTCTAATGATCGCATTCAACTTTTTATCTTCGATCGCATTAGCATTGTTTTACGATCACATATCCTTCATCGTCAACTTCCGCCTCTTCTTTTCACATGCACAATAATCATGTTCATTCACATGGTGACTGCATCTCGTTCCAGTAAACCGGAATTACTACGAGAAAAATTACAAGAACACATTCTGACCAATCGAGCCACATCATTCATGCTAAACAATATGTTAAATGAGGAGTGGCGACTACCAAAATACTATCCGGACGATATTTACGAACCTTATCATCAACGTACCGGTGTACCTTGGGATTACGGTCTACGAAAACGAAAATTCTTCCCCTAATCCTGCTTGAATATCCCACCTCAGTGTATGATAAAATAGAAATTGTTCTACCTTTGGTTTCTTGTTTTATCTCTATTTAGACGGGAGTGGGTATATGTACCCGTTCGCTCAAAATGTTTTCGATCCGACTGTCCACTATTCGTTGGAAATTGTTTTGCATTACCGTGCACTACTCCGACGGCATTATGACCGGACGCAGTGGACTGACCTCACCGATTTAAGGTTTAGGTTGTCGTGTTTTTTTGTCCGACTATTCAAGTACATTACCGCGTCCCCCCTCCTCTCTCTTTCCTATAGTCAGATCCTCAAACCGCCCATGTAATTCTGGGTAGCTTGAACCCAGCTCTAGTGCACAACAGCCTGCGCACACAATCTCCCGCCGGTTCGTGCACGCGCATGTGCATCTATCCGCCGATTGCAACATGGATGGCAGTGAGCCACTCTTTGGATCGCCTAGTGAACGTTGTTGACGAAGTCGATCAATACTGGATGAGGGTGACTGTGACACTGATCCCGTTACCCTCGACGTCGGAATTACCAGTATTCCGTTTTGTAATCGAGTGTTGCGGATAGTGAACATAATCACAGGCGCATGAACGCATCTACAGGCCGGTCAAAGAATTACCTTTAAGATCATGTGATAATGCGCGGTTGTCCCTCTCGAGTACAATTACCAAACTCCAGACACAGGTTGGCAGATTGATCGTGTAACTAAATTAACCATTGTTCTGGATTGGCTGATTGAAGCGCGAAGTAGACCTTCATAGCCGGGCGAATATACTTGGGTTGATTAAGCTGTAGCACAGTCAGCAACGCGTACCGGGAACAAGCCCTGTTTGGACCAACCGCCGAAGCGAGTAGGTTTTGACTGTTTTTTTACCTTGATGATTGACGGATTCAGCTTTCAACAGAAATGAACGAGTACCATGGCCACTGACCTAGGTCGGTCGAGTAGCGATGTAATGGATCGATAAAGCGCTAATCAGACATGCTTGGTTCGTTGAATGTTGTTTAATTTAAATTTAACTAAGGTAGTCGCTATTTCAAATTTAATCTCTTATTTTGCTCACAATGCAAACTTTTAAGCGCTGAAAGATACAGTCTAACTAGGGGCTTAATACTGAGCCCTCGTGTACAAAAAACAGCTGTCGTACCATTGAACAGTGAAGCTACATGCCAGCAAACTAATTAAACCAAAACTCGATTATCTACGAACTACTAAAAAGCCCTATTTACACGATTCTCAAATCCTAGCACACGTGCGCGGTTCAGCGGCAGATTGCGTATGCGCCTGTGCACCATAGCTGGGTCCAGTCTACGCTAATGATCAGTAATTGTCAAATACTGGTCCTCTACAGTAGTGCAACTGAGACATGGACCGTTTTAGAATCTATGACGGTCACCTGCTGATATACGTGTACTATCTGCAGCGCTCATAATGAAAAGGCTTACTACCAACCTCTTTCAATCGGTAATTATAAACCGTCCAGGTGTATCTTGTGGTTCAATACAATTTGATGGCTGCTTTCCTCAGTCCCTTCTGTTCCCCGTGTCTATAGTTCATTTTTTCAAATTTTCCGTTAGGTTCTCCCTTACTATTCTATTTTCACTTTAGCTTCCTCTGTTTTCTCTTCTCCAACAATATATCATATAATTTTTAAAAACCTAACCCAAAATGTGTATTTTCACCCCTATGTCAGTTTAGGTTTAGGGATCCCGTTTGAGCGTTTCGGCTCAAATTGTGTCGGTACTGGTTGGACGAAAATGTCCTTCGTAAAACCTTATCTCTTCCCCCTGACTCCCTCCTACGATGATGCTTGTTACAATATGTCCCAAGAATGCATTTACAGTAACGACACGTCTAACTTATCGACCGGTAGCGCATCGCGAGATATTATCCTATTGCAAGGAACGCACGGGGATATTTAGGGCTAAATAGGTAGGATCATGCAAGAGCCATTTACATTAGCGCTGATCTTTCTGCCGTTATTTGTCGATCTTTGTCGGTCATTTGCCTATGACCTAGTTCATTTGAGTTGTCAGTTGCAGTTAGATTGGTGGTCCGCAACACCTTTTATCAGGGAGACTCGCGGACAGATAATATTACGAGAACTAACTGGTTTTGAATTGTTGAAATTATTAACCCAACACAGTAGAAGTGTAGAAATAACTCAAAAAATTCAATAACTTCAGCGTAGAATTATATTCTCCGTAACTACGACGGTTGAGTTTAATGCATACTTGTGGAGAACAGATTAGTCAATGTCAGTGTCAATTCAGCAGAACTACTCCCTTAAAAAGCGAACCTGGTACCAACTAAGTTTGCGGTGACATTCAAATTGCTAATTATTAGGTTCTATAGCATTTGTGTGAAGGTTTAAAGGAATCAATGTTCAAGCTCTTTCGCATTACGTTACCCTTTGTCATGACATTCTTGAAGCTGATACCACCTGCACTTTTGAGACCGGTAGGGATCAGACAACCCGACGGAAATTGCTCAAGTGAATAAGCCTAGAGTAGCTGGAAGAGGAATTTGTCTCTTAGAGGTCATTAGTGGTCTGTAACTGGTCGATTGTCCTCACAGATCATCTAACCTCAAATCACGAGGATTATTCAAATGCACCTTTCACTGTGAAAGCATTGCGTTTCTGATTGGCTGTCAGAATGAGTGCCAGTTGTTTGGAGTGCGACGGGTTGTAAGTCAAACAGTATAGTGCACCGGTTACGATAATTATCTGATGTCTAAGCTTGAGTCTGACCTGGAACGTAGTCGAAACTCAACATCTTGTCAAGCACACGCAGATCACAGAGGCACCTAATGCACTGATCCACTGTACCCGGTGCAGTTATTTATACGATACACACACACACGATGCGATTAATCTCAATCGATTTGCCCCAATGGATAGCACCGAGCCCAAGGAACACCGTGAAATCGAGCGTTTATTTCCTCAAATGAATCTGGATCGCAGTTTTTACAGTACCCACCAGTTAGCATCAAGACCACTGATCGTACAAAGGAGAAGATTGATGATAACCTCCAACGTACCGCTCGCTACTCTTCGCCTCGAATACACCTTGCTATAGAAAAGTATAGCAGCTTGCATAAACCAATGGACAGATTTCGCAATCAACCAACGAATAGCTGCATTCCCCACATAGTACCTCCAAGAATGTTGAAACACGGTGACAAACTATTTCACAAATCGATCACAGTTCACACGTTACCCTGGTCGTTCCTCCTCTTCCTTAATTTCTACACTAGGCGTATTACAGGGTGCCATTTTGTCCCCGTTTTTCTTTTCCGTTTATATTTCATCCATGCCTACTTTTCAAAGTTCCCTGGCCATTGAATATGCGGACGATGTTGTGGTCGGGATGGCCCACCCTGATGCATCTGTCACCTCCACCGTCCAACTTGGCCTTGCTAACCTTGCTGATTGGTCCACTGAGCATAACTCTCAATTCCTCTAAATGCGTAGACATGCTGTTCTCACTTCAGACGGAGTCGTTATGCTAATCTCCTGGACTCCTATCCCACGTTGAACATACGCGAAGATACTTTTATCCAACCCCTAAATGTCAGGTATTTCGGTGTGTTAATAGGCCGAAATTTATGCTGGTCTGACCAAGTTATTTCTGTTTGGAAATATCCATTTTATGCCCTACGCCTGAAAGCATTATCCATCCCTCGCTTCTTGATGAAACGTTTTCCTTTTGCTTGCATTTTGCCCCTATAGTTGTACGAGTCCCCAGGGATGCTCAAGGATTTGCTTTCTAGATCATTAGCACATTTACCAAGAAGTAGCGGGATTTCCCATGGAATTCTATCACTTCATCGTTTCACAGCATACAAAGTCACGCTTTTCGTTATCCAAAACAATCATAAACAACCCTTCACATCCGTTACAACAAGATCTTATCAAGTATGGGACCTCTTCTTCCAACCGGTCCCGTTATGAATGTATATTTTCTCGTACGACCGCCTTTACATCTTATGTGGTGCTTTACCTTGCCCGATTTCTTGTTAAACCAGAGCGCATCGCTTGGGAACTGAACTCTCATATCGTAAATTTTTCTTCTCCTTGCTTACCAAAATTCTGGTGTGATTTTGCTTGATCATTGTTGGTTGACTATGTGGCTGCTGAATATCCACCTTTCCAGGTGCATAAAGCAAATACTTGACTTGACTGATGCTCGACAATCGGCAAGAAACAATAGCTTAATTATTTCAGAAAATACACCTCTCGCGTGAGGAAGCCCACATCAAGGTTTTGAACTGTCTCTCGGGATAGTAAATCAAAATTTATACAACATAAAAGGTTACTTAGATCGATCATCGATCAGTTTATTGATTGAATGAGAAAAAACGATTCATCCCAAATGAAAGACAGTATTGATAAGCCATTTCCTCTACACCAAGAATGAAAGACAAGCATTAGTTCTACCCTTTCAGGTCAACAGTCCAGTGATGTAAGAAACAAGTCGTTTGCAAACATGATACACACTTTAATATTGATCGGCAATGCGGGTCAAGGTGAGAAATCACAAGGTAGCTTCAGAGTGACCACAACGATCATGGAGACATGGGTGGACAGTCACAGTTCGAGACAATTTACGGTAGAACAAAATCACATGATCAACGCCCCTTCTTCCGACCTTTGCGCTGCTGTTGTTGTTGTCTACTAGCACCACTTAGTTGTTTAGGAGTTGATGCGGACGCAGACTCAGCAAGCGGGGACGCGGTTACGGTCGGTTTCGGACTTCGAACGGTTGCATCCCTGAGAAAGAAATGAGAATACCAATTGATGAAGTCATAAAATAAAAAAATGTCACAGGTGTGAAGGAGAGTTGCGCAGCCAACCGGAAAGCTAATATCGAAAAGAAATAAATTGCCAACGGTTGCTGAGAAGTATTTCTATAATATTTCCGCTCTGAATTTGCATAAAAACCGGACAAAACTCAGGTTTAAACTAAAACGTTTCCACAGGTATTTACAT